GAAACAAAACCCAACATTTTGCTACCTCCAGGAAACACATTTAACTACAAAAGATAAAAATAGACTGAAAGTAAAAGGATGGAAAACAATCCTACAAGCAAATGGACCAAAAAAAGAAGGCAGGAACAGCTATACTTGTATAAGATAAAACAGATTTCAAACTCAAAAAGGTAAAAATGGACCCAGACGGTCACTACATTATGATCAAGAGGACAATACATCAAGAAGACATAACACTCATTAACATATACTCACCAAATGAAGGAGCACCAAAATATATCAGACAACTATTATCATCTCTGAAAACAGACATCAGAGAAAATACAATATGTAGTAGGAGACTCCATCAAATTAAAGAGCTTCTGCACAGCAAGAGAGACAGCAACCAAAACAAAGAGACACCCCAATGATTGGTAGAAAATTTTTGCACACAACACTAATGATAAAGGACTTACCACAAAAGTCTACAAAGACCTGATGAGACTCAACAAAACAAAGTAAACAACCCAGTCAAAAATATGGGCTGGGGCCTCCCAGGTGGCGCAGCGGTGAGCGCTGGGTTGTGAAGCTGCCCGCAGCCTCTGCAGCGCTGGTTCAATCCCTGGCGGCTAGGCGAGGGTCCCACATGGCGCGCAGACCTCTCCTGCCGCCTGCTGCTCCCCTCAGCAGTGTACTTCGGTCCTTCTGCCTCTGCCTGCTCTGCTCCCCGCTCTGGCTCTGGTGAATTCTCTTACCCTCCCGCGCTTCTGACTGTACCCAGTGCTTGTATAAATAAATAAATAAACAAATAAATAAACAAACAAATCTTTAAAAAAAAATATAAAAAAATAAAAAATGGGCTGAAGAGCTAAAAAGAAACTTCTCCAAAGAGGAAATGCAAATGGACAACAGGCATTATGAAAAAATGTACAACATCATTTGTAATCAGGGAAATATAAATCAAAACTACAATGAGATACCATCTTACACCAGTGAGAATGGCACAAATTAAAAAAACTAGCAACAACAAATGTTGGCGAGGTTGTGGATAAAAAGGAACTCTCCTGCACTGCTGGTGGGAGTGCAAACCACTATGGAGAACTGTGTGAAGATTCCTCAGTCTGCTAAAGATGGAGCTTCCATATGATCCAGCAATTCCACTCCTAGGTATTTACCCAAAGGACACAGAAACATTAATTCAAAAGGGCACCTGCACCCATATGTTTTTGGCAGTACTATTTACAATAGCTAAGCTTTGGAAACAAATCCAAATACCCTAAAATAGATGACTGGATCGAGAAGATGTGGTACATATACACAATGGAATACCACTCAGCAATCAAAAAAGATAAACTCATTTCATTTGCAGCAACATGGATGGAGCTGGAAGGGATCATGCTCAGCAAAATAAGCCAGAAAGAAAAAGAAAAATACCGGATGGTCTCACTCATAGCAGGAATTTAGAAAACCTAAATGAGGGACCAGGAAAAAGACTAATTATAATAAAGTAAGAATCAAAAGCAACAAGCAACTATAAACCAGAAACACACTATGGGGGTTGGGGGGGGAAGAGAGTAGGCTCAAAACAAGGGTGGTGGAAATTGTATGGGGACTATAACCAAGATGAAGATGCATACATAGTGCAAAAATGAAAAATGATGTAAAAATATATAAAATAAATCAATAAAAAACACCCCAAACATTCTAGAAAAATACAAAGTGTTAGTCAGTTATTTGCATAGTGGAAAAAAGATTAATCGCTCCATCTGTACTTAACATTTTTCTATATGATACAGCTCTACCAGAGTCCAGCTCCTTGAGAATATGTGCTACTTTGAACAAATTCTATCCTTTCTGGCTACATTCTTGATATATACTAGCTCACACACTGTAGGTTTTCCTAATGATGTTTTTCTAATTAAATAGAGAATGAAGACATGTTCTTTTCAATTTTGCACTCTGAATTTATTAAGAATTAGACTTCAGAGCCAATTGAATTCCAACTGTACCTATTCAGAGGACCTATTATATATTTATAATACACAACTTAAGATTCACATGACTAATAAGTTCAATAATATATTAGAAGGAAAGAGAGAAGAAAACAGATTCAAATTAAATAGCCATTAATTTGAACTGAAACCTTCTGAATTTTAGAATTTCAGTTTAAATGTTGAAATCATTTGAGTGATGAAATCCAGATGTTTTTATGTTTTCTGATAATTTGTAATTTCTATTTTCAAAATTCAGTGTAAGGAGATACACTTAATTGCTGTGACAAAGGCACACGTATTTGTGTAAATTTAAAGAGCCTGTCATTTGTCATAGGAATACCCACAAACTCTTGGTTCATCTTTGTGTGACATTGAACATGTATCATCACAATTTATAAAATGGGAATGACATCTATCTTAGAGAATTTTATGATGCTCAAATAATGTTGTGTATTTAGAAAACATTTTCTATAGAATAGTCAATTGCTATTAGTCTTTCTACCTTCCTGTCTTGTAAGTGCAGAAATTTTTCTAAATTGTATATAAACATTTCCTCTGTAGTTTTAATTTTATCCAAAGACATAGATTGATAATTTCGTATTTTAGGATATCTTTTTAAAGCACTTAAATGTTAAATATTAGAATACATTTTTCAGTTTCAAAAATATGTATACAAACTCTTAAATTACTATGGAGAGTTTAATAAATTTCACATTTTATTTTTGAATTTTTAAATGTTTGAATTCTGTAATTACTTTTAGTCTTTGACATACATTCTTTATTACAATGGATATATTTATTAAGGATGATTACCTTACCTTATGAAACACTGAATTTATTTGCACATTTATTTTTTATTATTATTTAAAGGAGTATAATATAAAAGTATATTAAAATCAGCAAAAAAAACTACCACCCGAACCCACAATCCTATTTCTAAATCCAAAGCGAATCTTTATTTCAAAAAGATATGTTGATTGCATATAATAACCAGGATATGCACACAATCACCAAGATACGGAAACAACATAAATGTCTGTCAGTGGGGTGGATGGATAAACTGTGGGGTGTGTGTATGTGTGTGTACATGTAAATTTATGTACGTGTACATACAGATATTGTTCATTCCTATATATATACATATGAATGAACTTAGGGGACATTATACTAAGTGAAGTAAGACAAACACACAAAGACAATTACCACATGATCTCACTTACATATGGTATCTAAAATAGTTCTAGAAGCAGGGAGTTGAATGGTGGTTGCCAGGATCTGGAGGGTGGGGGAATGTGGAGATGTTGGTGAAAGGGTACAAAGTTTCAGTTATATAAGATGAATATTTCCTGGAGGTTAATATATAACTTTGTGACAATCATTGTCAGTACTATATTGTATGCTTGAAATTTTGTTAAGAGTGTAGATCATAAGTGTTTTACACACACACACACAAATTGTAACTTATGAGGTATAAAGGATGAGGTTTGAAGTGAGGTTAAGTAATGTAAAATTTTTTTAATGTGATCATTTTACAGTGTATACAATTATCAAACATCAATTTGTAAACTTTAAAAATACAAACTTTTATTATAATTTTATAAACTATGCTTCAAAAAACCTGGGGAGGAGGGGGAGAAATACATTATTTCTGAACGGTATTTTTACCCTAAGCAAGTCCTCAATGGTTATCATAAACTTACACTTAAATTTATTTATTTCATTAAATTTTAAACTATCTTATAAAGTTTATCATTTAAATTTTAAAATCATTTATTTCCTCAAAGGCCTGAAGTTTTTTTTGTTTTAATATGTGTTGTACACTTCAAGTTTCTTGTTGTGATAGCTGATGATTACCAGTAGAGGGAGCTTCAATTAATCTTTCTTGGTGACTACCTCTTAATTTCAAAATACAAGTTTGTGGAAATGTTAGGGGGAAAAGGATGTCCCAAAGCAAAGTCCCTTTAAAGCGCGCGGGTGAGGACCCACAGCCAGGAACCCATTTAATATCGGGGTTGCTCTGTAACAGAAAGGGCACAGTTAGAAATCAGCTTAAATAACACATGTATGTAAAAAATTTCAAAGTTACTAGAGAATGACAATTGTAATTCTCCTTAACTTTGAGGGAAAATAATCTCACTTAGACTTTCATACTCTTGACTAAATTGTCCTCAAATAAATAAAAAAACTTGCACAGAGAATAACTTTTCTAAGTGATCCATCATCCAAGACAGGCTCTTAAAATAGAGAAAAAATCTCTCTCTCGTGAGTTGAGGAGGAGTAGTGGTGGTAGTAAAATTACTGTTTGAAGTGTGGTTAAGTAATACTGTTAGGGGGAAAGGATGTCCTGAGATAATCTCATACAGGCTTTGTGGACTCCACCCCCACTCCAGACTAAAGCCATCAGGACATTGGGAAAGACAAATCCCATCACCACCAAGGGGAGGGTGGCTGGGACCTGAGGGTGGAGTTGGGCAGCCAGGTTGGATATAAAAACCAAACACGTGGGCCTTGCTCGCGCTCTGGCTTGCCATCGCTTGCCTCCTGGCTTCACCGCTCCTGGCTGGCGGCCAACTCTGAGAGCGCCATTTTGGGATTCCTGATCGGCGGATCGGGTAGGACGCATTTAAAACTTTGTCTCCCACTTTTCTCCCAGAGCTGTACATTTCCTCATTTCCCTTTCCGTTGTAAATAAACCTTTTATTAACCTTTCACGTGTGCCTGCAGTAGAGCATTGATAAGTCCTTTTAAGCGCGCGGGTGAGGACCCACAGTCAGGCACCCCGTTTTGTATCGGGGTTGCTCTACAACAATACAAACTTTTAATGACTGGTGGATAGTCATAACAGCATTGTCATAGTAAGGTGAATTGCTGAGTCATTGTGTAGGATAGGGCAAGAAAGAAAGTTTCATTTTACTTAAAACTGTTATGCATACAGATTATTTTCAAACCAAAGTCTAGAAAGGCTGTAGAAACCTTACTCATAATTAGAAGACTGATCCTAATTATCACCTGTTGGTTTCTTTATAGACCCCAGAAGAAAATACCACGTAAGATTGCTGGCCTACAACAAAGAAGATGGGTATCAGGCAGACCAGACCGTCAGCACCCCAGGATGTGTGTGTAAGTGTTGGGGCAGCTGGTTTAACTGTGGCTCACACTCCTTTTTCTCCTTTACATTTAAGTCTCATTAGTACTTGGAGATCTTGTTGGTTTTATTGCTTTATATCCTCCATAGTGCCTGAAGGTATTATTGAACAAGTATATCTTACTAAGTAAAATGTATTTAATTATAAGACTATTTTAGTTTTGCTTACAAAAGACCATGAGAAATTTTACTGAAAAAAATAATCACTGAATACCTACATATTGGGTTTTCTTTATCTATTTTAACAATTATTTCCTTTGAATTATTGTTCAGTTTTATTACTACTATGAATTGTTTGGTTTTATTGGTGCTAAAGATGTTGGTCTAGTTTTAAACCCACTGCTAACTTTGCAGATGTCTTTGGCGTGTAGCTTGACTTCTCTGTGCTTCTGTTTAAGTAATGATAATATTTGATTTCTTATCTAACTCATGGAAGAGTTGTTCATATTTGAATGCTATATCTCTAGACCACAATGAACCTCTGGTTGACAAAAGATTTAAAAGTCATCCTCCAGAGGTGGGATATTTATGATTTTACCATTTTAACCCCTTTCTGCATTCAAGGTTATCCCATGCGACAAATAAAAATGTCTCTTTCAATAGCTGTTCGTGATCGCATGGTTCCTCCTCCACCACCACCCCACCATCTCTATGCGAAGGCTAACACCTCATCTTCCATCTTCCTGCACTGGAGGAGGCCTGCCTTCACCACTGCACAAATAATTAACTACACCATCCGTTGTAACCCTGTCGGCCTGCAGAATGCCTCTCTGGTTCTGTACCTTCAAACGTATGTAGCTTCTCTCTTTTGCTTTAATTATTTTTTTTTGTTTTTTACATCACTGTTCATTTTTAAATAATATTTGCTTCCCCCACCTCTTCAGGTGTAGTCCCCATAGAGGTTCCTTCACCAATGCATCCGTGCACCATCACCTCAATCCCCTGTGCTCCTCCCTCCCTCCCTCTGATCCCTCTCCCTCCTCCCCTGCAGGATGTCTCTGGTTTATAACTGTCTGTTTTTGCTTTGTTGTGCTTTGTACTGTTGTTATTTTTTAACACTTACTTGGTTCCCCTATATTCCTGCTATATATGAAACCATGCAATATTTTTCTTTTTCCTCTGGCTTATTTCACTGAGCATAATTTGGCATCTCAGAGTTAGTTTTTCTGTTTTCTCATTCATTTTTCTTTCTAGGTTTTCGTTAGAGAGATATCCTTGATTGTGTTTTAGAAGAACATAAAAGAAAATTACAATGTTTTGAGGGTTTGACTCTCAGTATTTCAGAAGAAATTTCTTTGAATTGATAGATTTCTATAATGTTAATTTCCTACTCTCCAGAAAGGCAACTTGTAGGAATATTTCTATAGAAAAATACCAAATGTACTATTTTAATAGTCAAGCTAGATTGCTATTTTAGTGTAAAAATTATTTTAAGAAAATGAGAAATCTGGCAAATGCATAATGACGTTATTTCTTGACAGTCTCTTAGAAACTGTGTGCTGTCAGCATTAACAACTTCATTACTCATTATTATAGATCAGAAACTCATATGTTGGTTCAGGGTCTAGAACCAAACACCAAATATGAATTTGCTGTTCGATTGCACGTGGATCAGCTTTCCAGTCCCTGGAGCCCTGTTGTCTACCACTCTACACTTCCAGAAGGTAAAAAAAAAATAATAAATAAAAATGCATTTTTCTGTTTTAAAAAGCATATGTCACAATGGAAAGGATATGCTCTTTCTTGTTACCTACCAGTTGGTGCATGCTTTTTTGTATTGTTTTGTTTTTTCTCTTGAATCTCTTTTCCTTTATTATATATAATTTTTTTCCTTTGTTTATATATTGCACAAACCTTAATTTAGTGTGTCTTTAGGGGACACTGAATCTTTTTTCAGTAAGGTGTGCTGGTAAAGCTGTATCTAAATAAAACGAAAGTGAGTGATGTAATAATTAATGACATTGGGAGCCCACATTAGCATGTATTTCTGTATGAGTGGTAGCTTGATGCTATGCATAGTGCATTGGATCTGATAACCTGACTGAGCACCAATTCTGTATCTCTAGCTGTAAGATATTTTCTCCTAGAATAAGAGTGAAAAGCTATGTGATCTAGAATGACTATTGCAGCTCTATTTTAATTATGTTCAAAGACAAGGAACATTTACTTCAGTGAGCATAGGATTTCTTTGCTATAGTTTGGGCACTATTCCACATATGATGTAGTTCCAGAAACTAGCTTTTCACACTTTCAGTTCATATTAGATATGGGGTCAACTAAAACTTGAAGACTTGACTACTTTTGCAGATAGATGTTATTAATCAAAAGTATGCCCTACACATTCACTGATTGACATCTTTTTGGAAAATGGAAGGCCATTATTCAGTGGCCTCCTATATCAGGTGAAATATACATTCCATACATTTTTGTAAGAATTTAGATTTAGTAACAGAGGGGAGGGAGGGAAATCAATGTCTAATTGAAAAATACTGCTGGTGGAACTGAAAGCTTTTCTAGTCACCAATTTGACAAACAAATACCAAGAGCCCTGTATATGCTCAGACACTTTTACTTAGTAATTCCCCATCTAGGAATATACCAATATCTTTCATTTATATATATATATATAGAGAGAGAGAGAGAGAGAGAGCGAGAGAGAGAGGATTTGACTATAAATACCATATATTTATATATGTTTTTAACTATTATGAAATTAGCTTTTAGAAAAAGAAGAAAAATAGTATTTTGCTATTGATATTATCACTAGTAATCTGCAAAAGCTGTATTTTAAGGTACTTTTGTAGTGACTTCTAGTTTTTCAGACTTTTTTCTAAGTCCCTTGCTTAGCTAGGTGTTTATTTATGAACATTTTGTTCTAGTAATGTTTTCAAATGCATGCACAGCACCAACAGGCCCACCAGTTGGAGTAAAAGTGACGCTGATAGAGGATGACACTGCTCTGGTTTCCTGGAAACCCCCTGACGGCCCAGAGACAGTGGTAACACGCTACACCATCTTGTACGCTTCCAGAAAGGCCTGGATTGCAGGAGAGTGGCAGGTCCTACACCGAGAAGGTAAATATGATCATAAATACCAAGGAGGATGAAAAATAATATTGTTAATAATAATGATAAGGAAACAAAGGGAAGGAAGGATCTTGAGTTTGTTTTGAGTTTATATTTATAGAATTACAGATTATTAACAGAGCTTTGGGAAGCCGTGGACTTATTTTAAGCATGAGCATGATTAGCATTTCATAAAGATCACTCTAACTGCTGTAAATAGAAGAGGTTTGGTTGAGGGAGGAGTACAGTGAGAGTGCTGCAAAGAGGCCAGTTAGAAAGCAATAGCAGTGGTCTAGAAAGGAGATGATAAATCTGGATTAAGATGGTGAGGTTGAGAGGGTAAAGAGAGAATGGCTGAAAGGTAGTTAAAGAGGTAAAATTGACATCAGCAGTGAGAAGGTTAAGTTTATGGTAAGAACATGTTGTCAATGTATAAAAGATATTTAAGGCTATGAAACGGGGGGGGGTGTGGATTTAGAAAATATGGACAAAAGAGAAAGGTTTGAGACTGCGTTCTCCAGCCTCAAAATCTTACCCTTTGCTTTTATATTTTAAATGAATGCTACTTTTGTGACAAGTAGCTCATATTTTAATATACATTCAATTGACACTGAGAATTGAATTGTACAAACTATGCTGCTAGCCAACTTAAGGTGCTCAAATATGAATTAAAAAATTCTATCCTCCAAAAGGAGAAGAGAGGAAGTTCAGAGGGGAAAAAAAAACCTTAATTTCATTAATTATATACATTGTGCTAGACACTTGCAATGGTAGTTTATTTGATCTTTTTTGTAGTTATATGAGGTGGGAATTTTGCTGCCATGAGGAAAAGAAAGTTCAGTAACACACCCCAAGTCACAAATTGGTAATATGCCAGGATTTGACCACATTGATGTAACAGTGAGCCTGTTAGACTGTCTGGCTTGTGAAAACTCCTAGTCTAACTAAGGATTTGTGTGTGTGTGTATGTGTGTGTGTACACAGTAAACTGAAATAATCACGCTAGTTAAGATTGAGATAGGGGGGCCTCCCTGGTGCCAGAGGCATTTGAGCGCCGCACTATGAAGCTGTCTGCAGCCTCTGCAGCGCCACAGCGCCGTTTAATCCCAGCCGGCCAGCGAGAATCCTGCATAGCGCTGCAGACCTCTCCTGCCTCGCCCGCTGCTCCCCTCAGCAGTGTATTTCAGTCAGTCTGCCTGTTCTGTTCCCTGCTCTGTCTCTGGTGAATCCTCTCACCCTCCCATGCATCTGGCCTGTCACCCTGGTTCTTGTATAAATAAATAAATCTTTAAAAAAAAAAAAAAGATTGAGATAGTGTGCTGAGAGACTACAGGGACTATCAGATCACTTTACTATTTGGAAATTGCTGTAAGTGTTCTCATAGGGGAAGCAGAATATTAGTTTCCCTTTTATGTCTAAATTAAGATTTTTTGTTAAAGGGAGAGCATGCTGCACCACCACATATACACATGAATCCCTCACCCACTTATACAATTTAAATTAAATGAAAAGACTTAATTTCAGGTAGTTACTGATTTTTACCAAGCACTTTTGAGAATTGAATCAGAAGGACTCTGATAAGATATAAAAGCTATTTATTTATGTGTCTACTTGTGCAGAAACTGAAACGTTCTTCCTTCTAGCTACTTGTAACGTGTTACAGTACATCTTTGTTTTTAACTCACCTGCCTAAGAACATGGAATGATTCGTCCTGATTCTAAATAGGGGTCAGTTTGTTTATTTAATAGTTATGTAGTCAAGTAGGTTACAGTCTCTCCAGGCCAAGTTGAAACCAGAGAACATGAAAACAAGCCATGTTTGGCTCCTCAGGTTGCCATTTGGTTCAGCCTTCTCACATCATGTGACCTGCAGAGATGTCCTCTGAATCATGACCACAGCCCTAAGATCATCCACATTATACTTTGTAGTGAAATTTTTTTTAGCAAGTGCACTAGAGCAGCCCGCTCTGTCCTGAGGGGATTGTTACATGGTAGTATAAGCTCTTGGAAGCTGTTGTAAGAATACCCGGAGCCAGGGGAAAGTGAGATGAAATTGCTAAAAGACAGCTAGGTTTCCCTGTGAAAATCCACCCGCAAATGCAGTGCTAGAACAACCTTGTGCTGAATTTCTGTAATACTTGCTTTCTTAAAATTAGGATTAATTCCTAGGATGGGGTCCCTTTTGTAAGAAAAATAGTTCTGTTCTTCACAGAATGAGCAGAACAACCAGTCAGGAGATGCAATGCCCAGGTAGGGATTCTTCTTTGCAGTCATACCAACAGAAAAAATATCTTTTGATATCCTTTGGCTATATATATAAATTGACTATATATAAATGATGATTATCTTTGGGGAGAAGTAGACTTTATGCAGATTGCTGGTGATAATTTTGATAATCTGAGAGGTAGGTCTTCATCTACAGATCAGCTGTGTAAGTGTTCCTACATAACTGGGGCATTTTCTTTCCTGTTTACTTCCAAGGAATCTTAGCTAATGATTAGGAGGGTGAAAATATATTCATGCTTTCAAAAATAATGATGGTGTTTCCCATGTAAGAAGTAAGAACAAGATCATCTATGACATTGATTACCATAGTGGTTTAAACATTTCTGAAAGAAAAATAGACTCACATTGTATTTTAAACATATAATTGTTGAATCTGGATTCATTTAACCATTTTCTCTTTACTTTGTTTTGAAATATTCCATAATAAAATATTTTTAATGTTGTTACTATATGCATACTCTTTGTACCTATGTAAAGAGTAATATATAAAAATATATACACAAACACACATATATTTTTATATACCCAAACAAAAATGCCTGCTATCTCTAAGAAGTACCCCTAAAACAAAATTACATAGATGGGTTCTGAAATGTATGCATAATACAACGTTAAGGGAAAACTCTAGGATATAAAAATGCATATAGTAAATATGTATTCATACATACACCTGTGCACATATATACAAATATGCCAAAATGTTAAGATTATCATTTTATATTTATTTTCCAGATTTTATATATTGAACGTGTTACTTTTATATCAGAGAAAATATTTTTATAATTAAGGACCATGATTGTGTGATTGAAAAAATAAAAGTTAAAAGTTTGCTTATTTTGTAATTAATGTATTTATAGGGGCGATAACCATGGCTCTGCTAGAAAACCTGGTGGCAGGAAATGTGTATATTGTGAAGATATCTGCATCCAATGAGGTGGGAGAAGGACCCTTTTCAAATTCTGTGGAGTTGGCAGTCCTTCCAAAAGAAAATTCTGAATCAAATCAGAGACCTAAGCGTTTAGATTCTGCTGATGCCAAAGGTCTGTATATTGCTAAAGTCACTAATTTTTCTTAAGAAAGCACACATATCCCTTTCACCTCCTAACACTTTTCTTCTTCCCCTACATGGCCATACCCCAAAACATGCATTCAGATCCTTGATTTGTTGCTGGTTTAGTTCTGATGCTGTGAAGCTGCATGGCCCTTCTCTGCACTCCTAGAAGGAGGCAAATCTACCTGAGAATTGCAGTTTTCAGACTATATCCAGTTATTTTTTTCCCCAGCTGTGCAACCACCAAAACACACTAACCACACCATCAGTGAACTGATGGGAGGAGACGTCTTGGGAGGTTTTGTGGGAGTAAACAGCAGTGGTAGTTGTGGTATTCAAGCTAAGAGGAGCATGGCTTTCATTAAGAATTTTCACCACACACACACATCCCCCCACCCCTGCCACCCACACCAGCTTTTTCAGAGAGAAAGTTGTTCCACTCCAGAAAACAGTTGGAAAAACTGTCATTCTTAGTTCACTCAGAGAAACTGTCCTTCTGTTCTGAAGGAAGCCAAGGGGCCTTCTGTGATACATAACTAGACATTTCCCCCTTTCTGGGGGAGTAGACCTGTGGTCAAGGAGCGTATGCAGACAACATTAAATAGAGGAAATTCTAACTGAACCCAGGATACGATTATGGGCTCATACCTCCTCAGTGGGTAATCATACAGAGAGAGAGAGAGAGAGAGAGAGAGAGAGTGAGTGAGTGTAGGGTAGAGGGAGTCCTGGTAACTAGCAGGGAAAATTGAGAGTAAGATTCATATTTGATTCTCAAATATTTAGCTACTCAAAATATCTAGGGACCAGCAGCATAAGTATCACCAGAGAGCTTGTTAGACATGCAGAATCACCGAACTCACTCCAGTGAATTAGATTCTGCATTTTAACATATCCCCTAGAGACTTATATATACATTAAGGTTTGAGAAGCAAATGTAGATAAGTAAATGAAAAACTAATCTCCCATACACAAATATGCTTTTAGAGTAATAAAATGAAAACTATCCTTTGGTCGCATCAAAGAACATCTATGCTTGATGCCTTTTAGCATTATAAATTATTATAAACTGATGTTCACATTTGCTATAACACATTTAGATTCTTTAATATCGAAGATAAAGCCATCTTTGAGATCACTGGAAAAAAAAGTAATGTCTTTTCTGCTTAGACATGTAAAAGGTCAAAAGTTTTCCTGTGCGAGGAATATATAGAAGAGAAAATATCTGGAATAATTTATTTTTCTTATTGATTCTGAGTAAATGTGTTTCATCTTCTAGTTTATTCAGGCTATTACCATCTTGACCAAAAATCAATGACTGGCATTGCTGTAGGCGTTGGCATAGCTTTGACATGCATCCTCATCTGTGTTCTCATCTTGATATACCGAAGCAAAGCCAGGTATGTTGCCATCACTAGATTGTTGAGATAGTTTTAAAACATTAAGTTATAGTAACCACAAGAAGCAAATTAAAATGAATTTTAGAGTAACTTTTAAATATTCTAGTGACAACCTTTAGTGTAACTGGGATTTTCCACTTTAAAATAAATATATTGTTAATTGATCTAACAGCTATAGAGATGTGCTCACTTTGGAAGGGAACTGTTTTCTTGTCATTTGGGAAAATTATTGTTCCCATTAAATATTCTTAAATGAGGCAAAGTATATACTTGAGATCTTTTTCTTAAATGACACACTTAATGTGAAATATCTACTGATTGTAAGGATTCCTGACTGCTTAGGATATTTTTATATTTAAGTATCCTGAGTCACTGAGAGCCCCCACCCTCACCACAATGGGACATATGGTTGGAATTGTCCAGCCATGAATTAAAACAAATGTATTAACTAGGTAGTGGTCTTCTATAAAGTCTGTCAGACAGTCTCACCTCTAGTTTTACTAAATTACCAACATTGTGTGAATTTGTCTGTTTCTAACCCTTTATACTTTGGCTTTTGATTTCATTTATTTTCTTCATTTTGTCAAAGCCAAATGTACATCATTTTTAGGTAATCCCCATGACTAGGCTCCTTCCAATTGCATTGGCTATTTGCTTACTCTGTGTTTGTTTCTTCTGCATAGAAACACTCATAAAACATCTTAATGAAAGAGTTATTATAGCATCTTTTTTTATATTGAACTGGCTTAGCTTTCTCATTTTCAGAATTTTTAATAAAATTTTGAATGATTTTAATGATGTACAAATCTTGCAGGTGTGGTATGTGGTACTTTAACTTATCCTTCATTAATTGTCAAGTGATTTGTTATATTAGTGTGACAATATGCAGATCTAAAGAACATGTAAATTTAAAAATTATTATAAATTATAATTATATTAAATTATAAATAATATTAAAATTTGTATTAAATTATTATAAATTATAATCAATAATAATAAATAATAGTATTTTGTAAATATTAAAATTTTTATTATGTGTATATGAAAAGTAATTTTAAAATTTTTTTTATTTTATTTTTTAATATTTTATTTTATATAATTCTTACATCATTTTTCATTTTTGCACAATGTATGCATTTTCATTTTGGTTATATTCCCCATACAATAGCACTCCCCCTTATTTTGATCCTAATCCTTCCTCTCCCTGCCCCCCCCAACCCATAGTGTGTCTCTGGTTTATAGTTGCTTGTTGATTTTGATTTTTACTTTGTATTAATTAGTCTTAAAAAGTAATTTTAAATAAGCAGATAGTGAGGCAAAAAAGAAATAAAGAAGCTTCCTCAAATCATAAAAGTTTGAATCAATGATTGGAGTTAAAATACTCATTTTCTAAAGATATTTGAGAAATGGATATTAAAGAAAACCTCATGGTTTGCAAAGTTGTGATTATATGGTAAGTTGGTACATTTGCCTGTATTTTCTCTGAAATGAGATGATTTCCTTTTCTTGCACTATTTCAGGAAATCATCTGCTTCCAAGATAGCACAAAATGGAACTCAGCAGTTATCGCATACCAGTACCTCCCTAGCTAATGGAAATGAAGTAGGAAAGAACCTGGAAGGAACTGTAGAAAATGAAGAATCCTTAATGCCAATGATAATGCCAAACAACTTCATTGATGCTAAGGTATTCTGAGCTGGGAGATTAATTGCTGTGTCATCCTTCTGTTTATCTGCCCTTTGTAATCCAGAATTTACTTATCAAAACATTATATGTCAGGGCCTCCCTGGTGGCGCAGTGGTTGAGTGCTGGGTTGTGAAGCCGCCCCCAGCCTCTGCAGCGCTGGTTCAATCCCCGGCCACTGGGTGAGGGTCCCACATGGCGCGCAGACCTCTCCTGCCGCCCGCTGATCCCCTCAGCAGTGTGCTTCGTCAGTCTGCCTGCTCTGCTCTCCCCTTTGGCTCTGGTGAATTCTCTCACCCTCCTGCGCTTCTGACTGTACCCAGTGCTTGTATAAATAAAATAAATAAATCTTTAAAAAAAAAACATTATATGTCAAATGTTACATATCCCTGCTCCATTTAATGAAGTGTTAAACAGTTTCACTGAGATACTTCCTCACATGAAATATTTGGGGAGAAGTAAGTAGGAACAGATAAAGGATAAAAGGATAAACGATTAAAGAGATATAGAAAAAAAAGATAAGGTAGCATAAATTCATGTAGATAGGATTGTAAAGAACTAAGATGTCTTAAATAAGGAATCTTTAGTCTAATTTGGACTGCTCTGTATTTACTAGATGGACAGTTTTTATTAATCCATTTTACACTCAGTTTGGTTGATTTTTGAAACTGAATTAAGCATTAGAACACTCCATGAATGACTTTTTAAAAAAATATGGAGCATCTCAATAGATATCTCAAGAGCCTTTTCTTTATGGCCTGAGAAAGTTGAATATAGTAAAGAAATGTCACTGAAGTATGTTACCTCACGTCCTTTCCACTATATGTAATAATACTACAATGATAAGCATTATGTTCACTGACCAAAAACAGAAACAATCTCCTTGTATCTGGCATAATACTATAAATATATATTTTAGGAATACATAGCAATTCAGGAGTATATAGCTATGAATTGCTTTTGCTATTCCTGTTGTCTTTTTTGCTTGCAACTTAATTTAGCTTTTTATTTTTCTGATATAAATGTAAACCATGTTACTTATTTCAAATTAATCTAGAACATTACAACCTAATAATTTTTTTTAACATATTCTTTTTTTTTTTTTTTTTAAAGATTTATTTATTTATTTATACAAGCACTGGGTACAGAAGCGCGGGAGGGTGAGAGGATTCACCAGAGCCAGAGCAGGAAGCAGAGCAGGCAGAAGGACAGAAGTACACTGCTGAGGGGAGCAGTGGGCAGCAGGAGAGGTCTGCGCGCCATGTGGGACCCTCACCCAGTGGCTGGGGAGCAGCCGGGGATCGAACCAGGGCTGCAGAGGCTGCGGCAGCTTCGCAACCCAGCACTCAATCGCTGCGCCACTGGGGAGGCCCCTAGAACCTAATAATTTTAAGCAATCATGTGAAGTACTAAAATATACCATTATTTTATTATTACTAACTTGAAATTAAACACGAGAAAGGATGGGGGTAGTGGTAAGGGGCGGAAGATCAGGAAGGAAAAATAGAATCCACTGTGAAAAGAAGCAGAGCAGAGTGGAGGTCAGAATTACAGGAAAGAAACCAATTTTTGAAGGTCAAACCTTTCAGTTCCTTGGGGTCAGCCTAAGAGTTGAGCCTCATATATTATATTTTGTTGAGCATACGTGGGCCCATTTTTTTTCTTGTCAACTGCTTTTTGAAAATTTCAAATTTGTAGAAAGGTTGAAAGAATAATGTAATGAATGCATAATAATTGTCAATGTTAGATCATATTTCTGTATTGCTCTACTTTTATTTGCTGTTACATTTGAAGATAAGTATTGGAATCATTACACTGTACCCCAAATACAAATAATATATTTATATTCGTACTATATATATATATAATATATAATATACATATATGAATATAGTTACTTATTTATCCATCCATTGCATTTATCATCCCTTAAGAATAAACATATATTTTTGATCACTACAAATATCTGGATTTTTCATGTGCTATGTGTATAAAAGAAAAATAGTGATGTCTGTTATCATTTTTTTTCTTTTAACATTTAAAAAAAGTATGTATACTACTTTGAGAAATAGAAAGCTAAAATATTTACATTTTCCCTTTTTGTTTCCAGGGAGGAACTGACCTGATAATTAATAGCTATGGTCCTATAATTAAAAACAACTCTAAGAAAAAATGGCTATTTTTCCAAGAATCTAAGAAGATAAAAGTTGAACAGGTAAACCACCTAAATGAGAAAAATATTTGGCAACCCATGGTATAGAAAATGATAAACAGAAGAAAATATGAGCTAATGCATTATTTCAATTTCTGCATTCTTTCTTCAGGAGATTTTATTAATTTGGGATGTGAGTCTATTGAAAGCCATGGTGTAAGGTGTCAGTGAAGTGACAGTAGAAATAATAATCTGAATTGTGGTATTCAGTGGAGAAAGGGATGGGGCAGGAGCATGCATCACAATCACCAAAGAAGCCTTTTGACTCTTCATCTGCTAAAGTGATTCCATGTGCTCCTACTAGTCAGTGGGAAACCACTGACCTAGACAACCCCTCGTGGTAGTGACCTTTCTTTCACCAATGTGCTTGAATAGTTTGCTATTCAAGTTAGCAGCAGTTCCTCAGAAAGTCTTCTTGATTCATTCAGTGCGTTTCTCATAACATTGACATTGAAAAAAAATGTATTCCTGGCTGGGGCCACTATGTGGAAAGTTTAGTGCTCTCCCATTTCTTGGTGGGTTTTCACCTACTCCAGTTTCCTCCAGCATCTCAAAGATGGACACATTAGGTTAATTGGTGTCTGATTGTCCACTATGACTGTGTGTGTGTGTGTGTGTGTGAGAGAGAGAGAGAGAGAGACAGAGACAGAGACAGAGAGAAGAGCACGTGCCCACCCTGCAGTGGGAAGTGGAAGGGCGTCCTGTCTGTCTCGGTGTTCCTTCTTTGTACTCTGAGCTGGCAGGATAGGCCCTGGCCACCCTTGATCCTGACCTGGAATAAGTGAGTTGGAAAATGAATGAACACAAATGGTTGTTTAATAATAGAAGGATTTTGTGTCTATATAGAAGTTTGCAGATTTTTTATAAACAGAAATGATGCTGCAAAAAACTTAATTTGTGCTTATTATCAATTAGCCTACAGCAAAACTTGATTTCCTTATATGTTGTTTCCCTTAAGGTCTCAGTTTCCAAGAACTTATCCAAGACTTACTGTATATAGAGTTTGTAAAACCAGATTTATCATCTTCCAAGAGCATTCTATCATCTCTGACAGTGTTTTATGTATTTTTGCCTAGCCTCAAAGAAGATTTACTCAAGCAGTCTGCTTTTACCAACCAGGCACTACTGTATTAATCAGTGATGAAGAGTCCCCCAGCTCCCCAGGCCAGACAGCTAGCTTCCCAAGACCCTTTGGTGTTGCAGCTGATACTGAGCATTCAGCAAATAGTGAAGGCAGCCACGAAACCGGGGATTCTGGAAGGTTCTCCCAGGAGTCTAATGATGAAATACACCTGGCCTCAGTTATAAGTACAACACCCCTGACCTCCGATTCCTTCACTGGCAGGGAGTCAGGTGGGGATCCCTCAGTGAGGAAATGTGAAGAACCTGCAGTGCCATTGGATGCTGAGCAAACTTCCTCTTCTGTTCTGCAACCACCATCTGCTGTGCTATGCTATGATAAAAATGATTTCCCAATTTAGTCAGCCATATCCAGGTATTCTCACCTGTAAGTCTGTTCGAAGGACAATGAACAGGAAGCCAAAGCCTTTGTGAAAATCTGTATGTCTTATTGGGTATTGCAGCTTTTTTTGAATGTGTTTTTTATTTTTAAACTCACGTATTTTGAATGTTTTTTGTCAGCAATGTGAAAAGACGGTCAAGGTATTTGACTGGATTATAAAATATTATCACTGGAGCAAAGGAAAGACTTTTGAAAGCCCCTTTGCTGACTATCTACCTCAGTTTGCCAGATGGCAAACTCAGAAGACAACTTTGTTACCTCACTTGTTGTGATAGTTTATCTCAGCTATGTAACCAATGATACTTCCTAGTAGCATTTTTTTTCATTGCTGTATGTGTAATGTCTGTGATCGAAGGAGTCATATAGGTAGATGAGTAAGAATGTTTCTCTGAAGCTCTGATTTTTTAAGAAACTGACATCTGCATGGTTTGGGCAGTTTAACACCTCTGGCTGTGAGGATTGCTAGACCACTGAGGAGGAGAAAAGTGGGACTGTTGATGTTAATGCATAACCAAAACAAAAAGGTGTACCTTTTAACAACAGAACTATTCAGTAGCACATAGGGAATACTATCACTTAAGAGCCCTTTATGTTTTGGACAGAAGAGTCTGAGTGCTTGATCTGCTGTGTCCCAAACATTAACCTGCTCGCACAGTGCCTTTCCTGCCTTCCCCCTTTGCGTGATGGTTGGCCAAAGACTGCACTGTCTAGTTTGCAAAGCATCCTCAACATTTCCAGTATTAGTTGCAAAACTCTGTGCAAAAAATCAGATTTTTAAAAAGAATGGTTTAGGTTATATTTTTTTTAAATCCCAGTTTGGCTTAAAGGGGTGAAGAAATTTCATGAAATATTAAGAATGAAGAAAATGCGACAGTAGACAGTAAAATGAACTTGAGGTTATCATTGTAACAGTGCCTTCCACATTATGAAATTCTTTGCCTTATACCGTTTGAATATCCATGAAGTTGTTTAGGACACAATTACAGAAAGTTGCCTTAAGAGTTTCTTGGAATTTACCAAAAACTATTTTGAAGTATAGTATCAAAATAGCATTTGGGTTTGTTTTAATGCAGGTTTTGTTTAGGGATAAGTATTCAGAGCTCTACCAACTTACTTGTATTTTTTTGAATTCTTAAGAGAATTTGGTACTCTTTATTTAACCTTCCTTCAGTGTCAATGCTGTGAATGAGGAATGCTAACTCCAGGAGTAAGTTAATCCTCTTGCTGGTTTGAAGCCAGCATGCTGTGTACTCAATCACAGAAGACAGGTTTTCCATCAGTCATGAGACAGTTACTTACTAGGTGCCCAGTAGTGGGAGAAGATGAAGAATTAAATGTATGATATCTAGAGGGGACCCCATATCTTTTTAAAAGTATTTTTTCAAATTATCTGGAAATGATTTTAAGACTCATTTTAAAAGGAATCTCAATGGGTTTCCCCTTTTTGTTTATAGAAGGTGTCATATTAAATGGTGTTCTAAGATCAAAAGAATATTGCTGCATAATAGTCCCACCTCCATTGTCTCCTAACCTGACATCTGATGATAGAACAGTTTTGATTGTTTTTTAATCTGTCGTTTTGTGCCAAACTGGCATCCAGAAGCAGACCAACATTAAGTGTCAGTAACCACTTCTGAGCAAAATTCAAAGCCCCCATCATTTAGTTATGTAAGTATGGGCTTCATGGCAAAACCAAAAAAGCAGAGCTTCAGGTGAACAATCTGAGGCAAGGAAAAATGCTGCTCCTGCCTTTATAGCTCCTGTTTTATACTACCTCCTTTTTAAAGTTATTCTAGTATTATTTTTTTTTCCTGTACTCAGGGAACATTTTGTTACTTTTGAGCTGCCTCATGGAAGCATGGGCAAATTGACAGGGTATGGCGTTTTTTGGTTTGTAAGTAGAAGTATGTGGGGCCAACTTTTATTAGTATCTAAAATTAAGAAACACAGTTCATTTTATTTTTTAAACTTTCATTAAAAGGCAAACAAATTCTGAAGCTGAAACATCATCCATCCTGGTTATGGAAGATATGTCTAGAACTGTATGAATGTGAATTGTTTTTAAAGCCTGAAAAAGATGATCTGAAGTCCTTGAAGATAGTGTTTTGTTTGGTTGGATTTTGATAAATAGGCCCAGAGTTATTGTAGATCTTTAGGCTATAACTATTTGCTAATTATTTACCTTTCACCTTTTTGTTTTGTTCTTACACAATTTTTTTCATAATTCTGTTACCAAAGAATTTTTAGTAGAAAGTGAAAACTTGACTATACTTCCAACTCAAATTGAATTAACTAGAACCATCTATAACTATGAAGCTTATACAAGTAGTTACTAACCCAAAACAGTAGGGTTTATATTGATTGTTGTAGTTAAATAGACTAGTAATTTTAACTACCTTATGTTACCAGAGCATTTAAAAAAAGTTCTTTATCAGCAGATAGTTCCAAAGAATTTCAAATGTAATTTTTTTCTTCAGCAAGTAAATCTTCAACTATACAGTGTTAAAGTATTTTTAAATTGTTGAAACTACTTGTTGTATAGAAAAAAATCTTTTCACCAAAGATAAATATTTTGGTCTCATTTAATAAGATGAACAGCAAAGACTTCTTTTTAGTTGGCCAAAGCAAGCTTCTCTGAAGTTTTAAGTATGAAAATGTAACTAAAATGTGAAGGTTCTCACTCAGTTCTCATAGTGGTGTTACTTCATGCTTTTTCACTCCAAAGGGGCTAATATGCAAACGGTAACTATTTTCCTTTCCAGAGACATACTTGCTGTAAGTACTGATACATGCATGTCATTTTTATGCCAAATACTACAAGACAGTGCTCATCAGTATTTTCATACCAAAGACCATTAAAATATATAGATTAGCCTGTAAGTAAAGATGAGCAGATTTGAAATAAATTTATTTAGAGGCTGATAGAAAATCTAGCTTTAGTAACAAAAGATATCAAAGGGCTAAGTTTACATAATTAAGAGCAATACAAGTATATTGGTATTTATCAGTGTTTTTATTCAAGTACTTTTTATCAGCAAATTTTAAAAAACCAAAGATATTTAAAGTTACCTTCGCATATAGGCAAATTTAGTTGTACATTAAACTGTTGTTTCTAGTTTTTATGTCAACCAAACATGTTTCTCCAGAGCCTAGTCTGTATACAAATAGCATACATAGGGACTTTCCATTAAATCTGCTGATTCAGCCATAGGATGTTTTTGCCAAATGAAGTGATACTTTCCTAAGCACCTTGAGTGTGAGATGTCAACAGAAATATAAGCAGACTTTTCCATTGCAAAGCATTATGGCAATCCCTGATAATTCATAGCCTGTATGTTTTCCTCCTGCTTAAAGCATTACTGGGTTAACTCAGAAGGCTTGAGGCAGTCTCTTCACACTATTGGCTTTTCCCCTTTGGGGATAAATGAAACTGTAACCGGCAAACAGATCATATCATCATTTAAGTGCACTACCTTTGATAGATGTGTTCTTTAGAGTAGTCCATAACCTAAAATATTTCCATTCCATCCATGGAATGTGGTGCATTCCAAACTTTAGTGAAATCTTTCATGGGTTATCTGTGTTGTGAAACAAAAACCTTTTATGAATTCTGGAGTTTTATATTTTCATTAGTCTGAAAATAAGGATACAACTTTATCCACTAAATGACTTTTAAAATTTAGCTTTGGCACACCAAGAAAATTAGATCATCAGTGAAATGCCTTTTATTTGCCTTTCCTTCAAACAAGAGCAGTGCCAACATTGGGAACAATGACAGTGATTCTCATTAGCCTTGGCTTTGTTAAGGACTTCTGCCAGAAACCTGCTTGTGGTTGACAACTCAGGATCATTATTCAAGTCAGTATGAAGACCTCTTTGGAAACAATTCAGAGTGTCACAGAAAGATGGAATTGAAGGTATCTTTTTTTTTTTAATGCAAGAATATCCAGATGTGCTTCCAAGTTCAGCAGTAGCTGTTGTGATTCACATGAACATTTATATTTCAATTTGAATACTGAATGTAAAAAAGCAAGTCCCAGTTATCAGGAGAGTCATGATCTTTCTAAGACCAGATCTGTACTTTGCATACTTTGTCCCTGACATTTTGCCACATAGGTCTCTAGTAAAATTGCTTTAATAGTCAAAATAATATTTGTGGACTCTGGGCAGAGACTAGATGGTTCTGGAGATCACCATATGCAACCAGTTGTCTAATTGTGAATTTTGTTGATGTTTAGAAGAACATATACATAGACTTCTGTGTTAAATTGATTTATGCTCAGGACCTTAGATCATAGGCTAATGCAGTGTATATGTTTGCAGGCTTTAATCTTACCAGGCAGTTTCCCTTTTAATTTTTTTGAGGGTGTTTAAGATTAACGTGACAGTTTTGCATTTATACTGGACAGATTCTGTATTATTTTTTTATTGCTGCCATAATAGATTGCCACAATCTCAGTGGCCAAAACAACACACCTTTATAGTCTTACAGTTCTGTGGTTCAAAAACTGGCTGCAGGTCTCACTGAATAAAATCAAGGTGTTAGCAGGGATGAGTTCCTTCTAGAAGCTCTAGGAAAGATCTTTTCATTGTCTTTTCCAGCTTGTAGAAGCATGGATCCTATTTTCCCTCCTCAGAGTCAACTCTAGCATCTCTCTTACCCTTCTTCCCTTATCCTATCTCCTTTTCTGACCTCAACAGGGATAAAAGGTTCTATAACTTTAAGGATTTGTATAAGTAGGTTGGGCCCACCTAGATAATTCAAGGATGATCCCCTCATCTCAAAATTCTTAATTATTTCTACAGAGTCCCTTTTGCCAATTATGATAACAAAAAGGGAATGGGCATGGATTTCTCTGGGGAACCGTTATTTCCTATCTCTGATGCATTATTTCTGTATTGTTCTGATCCCCATAAAATGTCTATAGCAATACTGAAGTTGGAAGTCTGTGGTTTTTCATTGGAACACCTCATGTGCCCCTAGGTATTCTTGAAACTTTTAAAGCCATAAAGATCTTGGCTTGCACCTGTCAAAGGTCTAAATTAAGCTTTGTATCTGTATCACTTGTACAAGCATTTCAGCTTTAAACCTTCTGAATATGTGCTTTGTAACTTCTCAGTTCTGTGGTTTAACAAAGTTTCCTAAATATTTGCCCCTAACTTTTGGTACTTAATTGGAAATTTTTGAAAACTATTCTAGTTGAACTTTCTGCTTTTCCCTTAGGCAGTTATGCTGGGGTTGGTTTAGGGAAAGACCTCAAAATTTAGGGACTTATACTAAATGAATAGAACTATGGTCCAGTTCATTCTTCATTTTCTATTTTAAAAGCAAATTTGTAACATGTTCCCATTCTACCTTTTAAATCTAGTTTATTCTTCAGCTTCAACAGCCTCTTGACTCTTTGGTTTTCAGTTTGGTAATCACTAGATTTTTCATCAACAGCATAGCTTCCACTTAGCCTTATTGGCATATACATTTTGGAAATTTAATCTTTCTTGTTATACTTTGATTTCAGTTGCCCCTTTTCCTGAAAAGACTTGGGAGTCCACAGTTCTAGTTTATTCTAATTCTTGGATCATTTCAAGTCAAGTTTTCAGTTTTGAAGGATAATTCCTGATTCTTAGTTTTCAGCACTTTTTCAATTAAAGAGATAAAGCTATCTCCACCATGGGTTGGACCATGAGCAAATTTAAGAGTGCTGATTATTTTTTGGCTGCTTCTGACTCCAGTCTCTAGGCAGGGATAATGCCATTTCCTGAGCCGTGTGTAACATGCCACAGTCTTCTTCCCTGCAAACTGCTTCATTCTGCAGAGCAAGTATTATCCCCATTTTAGAGATTGGGAAACTGAGATTAAAATGTCTAAATTGTCACAGGTCACAGTTGGTAAGTGATTTACCCAAGATATAAACCCAAATTAGTCAAACCCAATGATAACAGTATTTCTACTGTATTTTTTTTTTTTAGCTAAGAAATGAGAAATTTTCTGTAGCTCCTGTATCTAAGTAGAAATTTAACTGGATAAAGTCAGGTGCATACACAGTCATCCTTCTTTGCTAGATCTGAGGAGTTAGTAATTTTTAGATGAATGCAAGCTTATCAGTTATTCACACTCATTCAGGAGGGAGCAAAGTTGAGGAAACAGAACAAGTATAGGTTAAATCACTGGAGCACCTAATGCCCTTGACTATTTTGAAAATTTAGTTTGGGAGGGACATTCTTAATGTATTTCTATTTCTTCCCTCTCCATGAAATAAGGAAAATTTGTTGTGCAGAATGAAGCAATAGTACTTTGAAAACTTAAAAGAAAATTCAAGTGTAAATAATTATAATCTGAAAGTCATTTCCACGAGACTGTGAAACATCTTAACAGTTTTTTTTTTCCCTTATAGGCAGTCTTTACAATTACATTTTGATTGTGCTAAAATGAAAAATGTTTGCATTTCTTGTGCATGCACCAAAAAATCTTAGAAAGTAATCGCTGAAGATATAAGCTGTGATTTAAACACACATTTGTAATGTGGGTAAATCTATAAGGAAATGGGAATTAGCTGTACTTTTGAAAATACTAAACATGAAATCATCTTACCTCAATTTAGATCATTCATTTTTTAGTGTGACTGATAGTCATATACTATTTTGTCTTAAAAATGTAAAGAGAGGGGCCTCCCCGGTGGCGCAGCGGTTGAGCGCTGGGTTGCAAGGCTGGCCGCAGCCTCTGCGGCACCGGTTCGATCCCCGGCTGCTCCCCGGCCACCAGAGGAGGGTCCCACATGGCGCGCAGACCTCTCCTGCCGCCCGCTGCTCCCCTCAGCAGTGTACTTCGTTCCTTCTGCCTGCTCTGCTCTCTGCTCTGGCTCTGGTGAATTCTCTCACCCTCCCGTGCTTCTGACTGTACCCAGTGCTTGTATGAATAAATAAATAAACAAACAAATAAATAAATAAATAAAATCTTTAAAAAAAAAAAAAAATGTAAAGAGAAAGTCGAATATCCTCAGAGGCACATGAATGGGAGAGGACAAAAGTGTATTTTTATGATCCTTCTTTTTCAGATCTATTTTATTTAAATTATGGATCATTTTAACATTTCTTCAAACTACTTATAATGAATTTGATATAGGGAAATACCTACTGGCATCTAATTCTAGTTCACTTCAAGTCTTACCACAAGCATTTAAGGCTTGTGGTAATAATTATGACTATCATGGGTTTTTTTTTTAAGGAAATAATTTCCCTAACTTTTTCTTGAACCATTTAGTATCACTCTTAGTATAATCCATGAGATTCTGAACACCTTTGCACATTTACTCAAGTTTATATCTTATAAGTAATTCATATGAAGTTAGTCTAACTTAAAAACTTTGTCTTTAAAAAAATTGTTACACAAGCTTATTTTCCCACAGAACTGTCTTTAAAAATAATGAGAATATGATTTTTTCAGCTTAAAATATTCTTCCTGTTACCATGTTCTAGATACCTGTTTCGTTTGCAAATGAAAATAAGTGCTTATGATTATCTAGTATAGTCTCTTAAAGGTAATTCAAAGCCTGAATACATGCACATTGCCTTAGTCTATCAGTAAAGGACATATATTAAGTAAGTTTGTCTCTTTGTTGCTGTTGTTAGACAAAATTTTATGTCTGTGTGTGATTTTTCCTTTTTTTTTTTTTCAAATATGTGAATTAAATGAAAGTGTGGGAGCCAGTTATATTATTTCATGTTGTGGGTGTTCTGGATCCTTTCACTCCATATACCATTTTCTTGTAAGGGCAGCATTTGCAGACTTGCTAATGGACTCTAGAGCTGAGCTATATTAATTTTATACTTGACTCAGGGGATCAGCTCTGTGAACTCCATTACAGGAAGAAAGCAAATGTTTGCCTTGATTTTGAATGTACCTTTTTAACGTCTTCTTTAAACATATTTTGTTTAATAATGTGGGTTTGTTTTCTTTTTCTAGCATCATAGTAAATATTGCCTAGTATATTTTCCTTCCCCAGGGTAGTTTATATACTATCCTACAGGTCATGCCAAAAATGAATAAAAATTTAAATGCCAAAATGTTTATGAAACTGCTGTCTAAATACTGATTGATTGCACAGTTTAAATAAAAGTTTTCCTTAGTAAAAAGAGAAAAACACCTGTGTTATATTTTATACTTCAATTTTTCTTTTGGGGTATGGAGGAGAAAAACTTTCCATGTATAGAATAATGGCTTTTGTGCCATGGGATGGGGTGCCTATAGAGTCCCCCCAAAAATAGTAGTACTAGAACATATTTTAGGTGTCTAAGAATTGTTTTTATCTGGAATTTATTGAATAGTAGCAAGGAAATAACAATTGTCCTATTCCAGTAGGTGATTGCTCACCACAAGAAAACTAGCCCCATCCACACCCCCACCCCTACCCCCAGAAAAAAAAAAACAGTTTAAAACTGTTTTTAATATTACAGTTCAAAAATGCTTCACACAATATTGAAAATCTTTTTACTAAAAACATGTAGAAATAAAAGAAAATGTTGCCTAGACAAGCTTTTTGAAATAACTGAATTCTTATTTTTTAAAAAAGTCCAGATTTGGGAAAATGAAAGGAAAACTGAAAAATAGAACAATAACTTCATGTTGGAGTTTCATGCTGACTAGAGACCATAAAAGAAAGGATTGAAATATAAGAGAACAAGAAGTTATATAATTTTATGTGTATTAGGAGAAATAAGTAAATTTCCAGAAATTAAAAAGAAAGTCATTGAATTTTTTAAAAATGTGCTGATGGTATATTAAATACACTGGAAGACTACTCTGAAACTGGAAGACTGATGAAATTATTTCAAAGACAGCACAGAGAGATAGGCAGATTGAAAATACAAAACAGATTAACAGATGACTCAATATACATGACAGCCATTCTAAAATGAAAGACTAAAGATGATGAAGAAATAAGTGATATTCCAAGACAAAATGACGAAGTTTATGAAAACCACAAGTCTTCAAATTCAGAAAGTACAAACGTCACTAAAAATATAAATTCACACCAAGACATTTTAGTAGAACTGCAAAACATAAGGTAACAAGAAAAGAACTTAAAGGAAGCTAGAGAAAAAGATTATTTAGATTGCACTAAGATTTCTCAGTGGCAATGAAAGAAGCAAGAAGATGGTGGAACAATGTCTTCAAAATGTCACAAAGAAAAATACAACATGTTGTTCTATACCCACTTAAACTAAGTGTTAAGATTAAACAAACATAATTCTAAATAAAGACAGAGAAATTACCACTCATACACCTTTGCTAAATGGCCAATACAGAATGTACTTTAGGAAGAAAGAAATAGAATCCAGAAGGCAGATAAGAGAAGCAAGAAGAGTAGAAAACAGAAATGAAAAACACAATGAGATACCACTCAATATTCACTAGGATGGCTATAACCAAAAACATAATCAATGTTGACAAGGATGTGGAGAAATTAGAACTCATACATTCTTACTGGGAATGTAGAACAGTATAGCGAAATGATACAGTAAACCAGTGAAAATAGTTTAGCAATTCCTCAAAAGGGTAACTTAGAGTTACTGTTTGACCCAGAAATTTCATTAATAGGTATATACCCAAGACAATTGAAGATGTGTTTCACATAAAGACTTGTGCAGACATATTCATAGATTTATTCATAATAGCCAAAACTGGAACAACCTGAAATCCATCAACTGATGATGAATGGACAAATGAAATGCAGTATATCCAGCCAATGGTCTGTTATTCATTCATAAAATGGAATGAAGTGCAGTATTGATATATACTATAAAAATGGATTTTGAGGACATGCTAATTTTGCATCCACTGGACCAAATGGATGCATCACCAATGGATGCAAAATTAGTGGATGGAAGTTTAATGACAAAAGGGAAATTTACATGTCACAGTATTTTCCCAAAGAGAACTTACTAACTTTACAGTGATGATTATAGTAGGGAAATCTAGTGAGCACCATATTAACGAAGGGATCAAGCCACTATAAAACAAATTGATACCATGTGCCACCTAAGTAATGCACTAGCAGGCCACAGCCTCACATCCATTATTCCTGCCAGGAACTCAATAATGTTAATCTAATCCTGAGAAAACACCAGATAAGTCCAAACTGAGAGTCACTCTACAAAAACAACAGGACTGTACTCTTAAAAATCATCAACTTGAAAAACAAGGGGAAACTGAAGAACTGTTCCAGATTAAAGAAGATCAAAGGGACATGGCTAAATGCATCACTGGACTGAAGAAACTCTATCAAGGACATTAGAGGGGTGGGGCCTCCCTGGTGGCGCAAGGGGTTAAGATGAAACCGATGAAGCTATCAGCAGACACTGCAGCACGAGTTTGATTCCCGGCCAGGGAGCTACCCACATGGCACAGCAGACCTCTCCTGACTCGCCTGCTGCTCCCCTCAGCAGTGTATTTCAGTCTATCTGCCTGTTCTGTTCCCCACACTGTCTCTGGTGGGTCCTCTCATCCCCCACACCTCTGGCCTATACCCAAGCTCTTGTGTGCATAAATAAATAAATCTTTAAAAAAAAATAACATTAGAGGGGATTTTGGTGAACTTTAAATATGAACAGTGTATCGGATAATAGTATTTTACCAGTGTTAAAATCTCCTTAAACTACTACTGTGTGACCATACATTGTAAGAGACTACCTTTTTCTTTTTTTTAAAGATTTATTTATTTATGCATACAAGAACTGGGGTACAGGCCAGAGGTGTGGGGGTGAGAGGAATCACCAGAGACAGAGTGGGGAGCAGAACAGGCAGATCTACTGAAATACAGTGCTGAGGGGAGCAGTGGGCAAGACAGGAGAGGTCTGCTGTGCCATGTGGGTAATCTCCCTGGCCAGGGACCGAACTCAAGCTGCAGTGGCTGTTTCTAGCTTCGTAGCGCTTTGCCTTAACTTCTTGCACCACTAGGGAGGCCCCTGAGAATACCTTTTCCTTGGGAAAAACACACTGAAACATTAGGGGTTGAGGGACATCCTGGTTCAGAGAATACAGTAATAACAACAATAGAGAGCAGGTTCTCAATGTTTCACTCAATGTCATTTTGTTATAACATTGATGATGAAAAACAGCCCTCGGCTTAAAAATAATGAACTGAAAAACATTGAAACCAAAAAATAAAAATCCTGACTGAAGTTAAACAAAATGCTATTATTTAAGGACCTGCTTTTGTTGTATGTCATTCATTTAAAAGTCAGTTTCCAAGAATCTATCCACAACATTAAATGAGGACTTATTCTACAGGCAGACCTTGTTTTATTGTGCTTCACTTTATGAGCTGTCACAGATACTGCAATTTTTTTTTTTACAAATTGAAGCTTTGGAGCAATCCTGCAATAAACAAGTTCTATCAGCACCATTTTTTCCAACATCATGTTTTCATGTCTCTATGTTCCACATTTGGTAATTCTTGCAATATTTGAAAATTTTTCATTATTACTATATCTGTTACGGTGACCTGTGATCAGTGATCTTCGATGTTACCATTGTAATTATTTTGGGGTGCCACCTTCTGCATCCAGGTGAAAGGACAATCTAAGTAAATGTGTGTGTGAAGACTGCTCCACCAACTGGATCCTCCATTCCTCTCCTTCTTTTCGGCCTCCCTATTCTTATTCTCTGAGGCATAGCATTGTTGAAATTAAGCTAATTAACCTAAAAATGTCAGCACCTTGAAAGACACTATGTGTTCAAGGGAAAGGAAGAGTCACACACCTCTCACTTTAAAGATAGAAATGATTCAACTTAGTGAGGGATGCACCAGAGCTTCCATAAGCCAAAAGCAAGGCCTCTTTTACCAATTAGCCAAGTTGTGAATGCAAAGGAAAAGGTGAAGAAAAACATGCTACTCGAGTAAACACAAATGATAAAGTCAAACAGCCTCGTTGCTGATATGGAGAAAGTTTAGTGGTTTGTATGGAAGATCAAACGAACCACAACAGCCCCTTAAGCCAAGGCTTAGTCCAGAACAAGACCCTCACTCTCTTCAATTCTGTGAAGGCTCCGCAAGATGAGGACACTGAAGAAGAAAAACTTGAAGGTAACAGAGATGATTTGTTCATGAGGTTTAAGGAAAGAAGTTGTTTCCCTAACACAAAATGTAAAGTGAAGCAGCAATTGCTGATGTAGAAGCTGCAGTAAATTATCCAGAAGATCTAGCTAAGAGCATTGATGAAAGTGACTGCCCTAAACAACCAATGTTCAATGTATACAAAACCATTCTCTATTTGAAGAAGATGCCATCTAGGGCTTTCACAGCCAAAAAAGAGAAGTCAATGCCTGACTTCAAAGTTTTAAAGGACAGACTGTGTTGTTAAGGGCTACTGTGGCTGGTGACTTCAAGTGGAAGCCAATGTTCATTTATCACTTTGAAAATCCAAGGGTCCTTAAGAATTATGCTAAATCTATTCTGCCTGTGCTCTACAAATGCAACAATGAAACCTGGATGACAGCACATCTGTTTAAAACATGGTATACTGAATATTTTAAGCCCACCAGTGAAACCAACTGCTCAGTAAAAAAAAAAATTAAAAATATCACGGCTTATTGACAGTGCACCTGATCATCCAAGAAGAGCTCTGATGGAGATGTATAAGGAGATAGAGGAATGCTGTTTTCATGCCTGCTACCACAACATCCATTCTGGAGCCCATGGATCAAGGAGTGATTTTTAACTTTCAAATCTTATTTTTAAAAATGCATTCCATAAAGCTCCCAGGGACTCTTGAGTTCTCTGATGGATCTCAGCAAAGTCAATTGAAAACCTTCCTTCTCGATGTCATTTACATTTGTGATTAATGAAAGGAGGTTAAAATATGAACATTACAGGAGTCTGGAAGAAGTGGATTTCAACTCCGTTGATGACTTTTAGGGGTTTAAGATCTTGCTGGAGGAATTAACTGCAGATGTTATATAAATTGTAGGAGAACTAGAATTAGAAGTGGAGCCTGAAAATGTAACTGAATTCTGCAACTCATGATAAAGTTAGAAGGGATGAAAATTTGCTTCTTTTGGATAAGGAAAGAAAGTAGTTTGTTTAAATGTAATTTTCTCCTGGAAAAGATGCTGTTAAACATTGTTGAAA